TCAGAGAAATTGCTAATAATAATTTTCACCTCACTGCTTAGATGCACACACATTTTGAAAGCGCATTTTATGAATCTCAGATGGTTTCCAATGACTTGCTGCATGTTTCCTTTGGACTGTCAGTGAAAGTGACAGTGTCGTCTAATTCGAGGACAAAAATATGGCCTAAGAGCCAGAAAACGCAGCTGGTTGTCAGGAAATATCACACTAGGGTCATACAAACTGATGGTTTAAAACAATGCAAAAGCAAGTTTCTTAGATAAGATTCTTCAATATTAAATGAGGCATAATTCAGTTTACGTCTATAGGATTATTTTGATTGTTTGATCATCCTCTGCAAAAACCTTCAGTCTGGTTATTTATAACAGCAGTTTGAGGTGCTGTAAATTTTTTATAGCACAAGCAGTCAGAGTTGGAGTATTTGGATTCGGGACTGGGACTTCAATTGTTAATGGAATTGGACTTGGACATTTTGGACGCAGAAATTATTCAGCGTACAGACAAATCCACATCATATGTTGTATAAAAGATTTAAAAAAATAACAACTTAAAATTAAGATAAAAAGACATAAATAAATGTCTCCCACTCAAACTCAATTGGTTACAAACTAAAACTCGACTCAGTTTAATATATGATGCGTCTCCGCTGTTGGTTGTAATATTGATGAAGTAAATCCACACTTTGCTGAAGAAGCGTTAGCAAACTCTTGAGCAGCAACAACAGTACCATGTACTCCGCCATTGTTGTGTATGTTTGTTGGCGCTTGCCTTTAAAATCGACACGTACTGCACATGTCTACATACCTAACACGTACTACAAAAACAAAAAACTAACACGCACTACGCACGCGCATGATGTCACCGTTTTCAAAGATTCCCGTATTGGGTGTTTACACGGAAACGATAACGGTGGCGTTTTCAAAAACTTGCACTTTGAAACCCGTTTTCAAAAATATGCGTTTTCAGTTCCCAAAATGCCGTTGTCGTGTAAACGAACAGGCAAAATGCATAAAAAGTTTATCGTTTTTGGCTGAAAACGTTGTAATGTAAACAGCCCCTCAGACCCAACACTACAAGCAGTACTAGCCGAGCTACATGCCAAATTTTCAAGGAATCGTCCAACTAAAAATGAAAATTTGCTGAAAATTTACTCCATCCAAGGTGTAGATGAGTTTGTTTCTTCATCAGAAAAGATTAGAATCTTTAGAATTACCTCACTTGCTCACCAATGGATCCTCTGAAGTGAATGGGTGCCGTCAGAATGAAAGTTCAAACATCTGACAAAAACATCACCATAATCACTTAATAATGCAAATGATGGAACTGTGTTGATTACTTGTGCATTATTGTGATGTTTTATCAGCTTTTATCAGTTTGAACTTAAATCTGTTGTGAAGAAACAAATGCATCTACATCTTAAATTATCTGAGTGAGTAAATATTCAGCAAATTTTCATTTTTGGGTGAACTATTCGAACTATATAACTATTATACTTTGGCATAAGGATTCATCTGTGAGCAATAGTAACAGTGATGCTAGGTTTGGCAGTCGTTTCATTCAGTACTCATATGTGAATGAGAATGAGTGCAATTCGTGTAGTTTTGAGTCAAAACGGACCATTTCTAACATTCTCACTCTGCTGTGAGGTATAACTGCAACAATGTCAAAACAATGTGATGACACAAGCTTCCTGCTGAACAGCCACTTTCTGATGCTGACGCAACACTCACAGGCCAGCCGAGGTTGAGACGCTCCATAAGGGAGTCAGCTCAACACTGGCAGTGCTGCTGACTACATATTGAACCGCCGTCAACCTTCAAAGCTTAAAGCAAAAGACTTGTGTGCTATGTGTAATAACTACTAACATGTGACAATTCAAAACTCTTTGGCAGAACAGACAGACAATATTTAATATTAACCCTTTGATGCTTTTCATCTACTATAGTGGACAGACCTTTAACACAGTATCTTGCAAACTTGAATATAAAATTTTACTTTAATTAATGGAATATGGTTGCAGAAACTGGATTGATTTACTGTAAATATATTACCAAGGTAAAGTTACATAGATAGGTTTTGTAGAAATAGCACAACAGACAGACAGACCTGGAAGCATCAGTAAAAATTAAATTTACAAACCAATGAGCAATGTTTTGCATCATAACTGACAAATGTTATTTTTGTAACTATATATATAGTATATATATTTCAATCATGACAACTCTCGTAAGATTTAACATGGTGATGGATATGACAATGTTAATGTATTTGGTCTTGGCGGAATAGATCTGCTACGCTGCTGCTACTGCTGAATTGCTGCTGCTGTTAATTATTGCTGTAGTTGTAGATTATTGCTGCTGCTGCATGCAAGTACAGGAACTTGCTACCTAAATAACTATGTGTGTCTGAGCTAATAACTAAAACGTACCTAGGTAGAAATGCGCACTATGCGTGTCATTAACAAACAGGAATCACACTGTAGGCTGATAGACGAAGTAACCCCCAGCAACCACCTGGCTCAGGCGGCCTGAGCAAATAGTTTTAAATTTGTCATTCAAGAGTTGAATTTTTTTTTTTCCCATTAACGTTCATCAACGTTTCTGCAATGGAAATACTTACCTTTAACTTATTAAAGGGGTCATATGATGCTTTTTTAAAGATCATTATTTTGTGTATTTGGTGTAACAGAATATGTTGAATTTGCAACATAGATATGCTCTGCATGCTGCTGCTGAGAAAAATCTTGATGACTGAATGCCTATGCAAGCTGCTGCTACTGCACAAAGAGACTGAACTGCTGTGAGCTCTATTAATTAGGCATATAAGTAGCTAGGCAAATATCTATTTTACTCTAACATGGTGTCTACACCAGACGCGAGCGGCACAACATGACAAAATCAATAGACCCGTTACAATAGGTAAAGCTGTCCGCAATGTATGCAGTGCGATACGGCCAACACAACAAAACTTATGCTACTGCTGCTATGATAATATTCAGTAGATGCTGTTGCTGTTAATGATATTCACAATGTTGTAATAGGAATTTACTGTGCGAGCTGTTGCGGTTGTAATATCTAATCAGAATTTACGAAGCATAATCATTTGCTGCTGCACGAAACCTGCTGTAAGCCCTGTTGAATAAGCAAAGTAATAAATGCCTATTGCACTTTTAAAGAGTTTACCCTCCATGATTTAATGCAACTAAAGCACTTTCTGCTGCCGCTGCTATATTAGCAAAATAATAATATGACTTCCTATGCATGCTGCTGTTAATATTACAATATTTCTAACATTGCATCTGAATTTTGCCATGCGTGCTGCTGCTATTAAAATTCACTAAACTAGTGATCTGAATAGCTATGCAATGCATAATGCTGCTATAGCTGCACAAAAGTACTTAGAATTGCTATAAGAGTCTTTATTAACAAGCAAACGCAATCAAATAATGCCTATTTCGCTTTGAAGAGTTCACAAAATCTACTGTAAGCCCTGTTAAATAGCAAAGGAATAAAATGCCTATTTCACTTAAAAGAGTTACTTACCCAATGCGTTTTCACTGAAATTTCAAGCAACTAAAGTACTTTCAGCTGCCGCTGCTATATTAGCAACAATTTGACTTCCTGCCGCTAATATTATTTCTAACATTACATATGAATTTGCTATGTATGCTGCTGCTATTAAATTCGCTACATGCAATCTGAATAACTATGCATACTGCTGCTACAGCTGCACAAAGGTACTTAGAATTGCTAAGCCCCTTTTAAATAAATAAAACGCAAGTGATGCCTATTCGCTTGAGGAGTTCAAATACCATCCATTTTTAGTCACTGAAACTTCAGCAATTGTACCCCTGCTATATTAGCAATAATAATTGGTTGCTATGCAAACTGTTGCTAATATTATTTCTAACATTGCATCTGAATTTGCTATGCCATGCTGCTCTTATTAAATTCGCTAAAAATTGTGATCTGAATAGCTATGCAAGCTGCACGAAGGTACTTAGAATTAAGTCTTTATTAAACAATGAAACGCAAACAAATAATGCCTATTTCGCGTTGAAGAATTCACAAAATCTCGTACTCCCTGTTAAATAAACAAAGTAATAAAAGCCTATTTCAATTTTAAAGAGTTACTTACCCCATGTGTTATCACTGAAATTTCATTCAACCAGATACTTTCTGCTGCTGCTGCGATAAACAACAGTGATAATTTGACTTGATTTGCTATGCATACTGCTATTAAAAATTTGATAATAACAAAATCTGAATTCAATGATACTGCTGCTACACTCTATGAAAGTACTATAACTGCTGTAAGCCCAACTGAATACACAAATAGTAAATCCCAGTTTAAGAGTGTCCTACTATTAGCTACATTGTACATGGGCTACTGATTGGAAATTATTTATTATTAGTAGTATCTAGTTATATTTTAAACGAATTCATGATTACCTTTAAACTATCACTAAACATGACTTTCATTATAAACTCTTCACTATCACTGAACCAAGGTAACGAGTGAAATAGAGACGTGGCCCCTTTAAGAATGAGTGCTACCTCTTCTGAGCGCATTGCAATGCGGCACGAGTACTCGTATGAGCGGGTATATTATTTTCTGCTGCTCATTAAGTTGTTATGGTTAAATAGGTAAGGCTGTTGACAGTATAACGTGACGTGACATGTGGCCAAGTATGGTTACCCATACTAGGAATTAGTGCTCTGCGGCTGCAATATAACAAAGAGTGAAAAATTTAAGGGGGTCTGAATACTTTCCGTACCCACTGTATATATATTAGAAGAACATTTTTAAAACATGTTTTAATAAATTTATGTTGCTAAAAATAAAATTAATAATAACTATGGTGTGACTAATGAAAATACTGACAGGCCCAAAAAAAATCCTAAATTTGCATCAAAGAGTTAAATCAAATCAAAAACCCTGACAGACACTGCGAAACGTCAGTGTGTTTAATAACAGTGGCTAGCTGGCTCTGTCCGTACCTCTTTGACCTGGTACAGTCCTGCAGGATGCTGACTGCAGGTCCGTTGGCTGGCGGTGGGAGACTTGTGGTGGGTGATGGTGATGACAGAGGCAGGTGTCCCGTGCTGGGGGGTCTGTCTTTGGGCGGAGATGGAGGAGCACTGTGGGATGGGGTGCGGGTGCAGGGAGAAGCTGCGGGTCCGGCCAGTGGAGGAGGAAAAGGATGTGTTGCAGGAAGAGAGCGCTGTACATTCACTCCCCCCACCTACAATCCCTGCCGGACCTGAGACTCGAACTCGCAACCTTTTTGGGTTACGAGTCCTACTCTCTAACCATTAGGCAACGACTTCCCCATGTATGATGTTTATGAAAGACATTTATATGGGTTCACCTTGACTTAAACTGTGAACAACTGTGAAACGCCAACTGCAAACCGACCCCACTAGTGAGGTGTGCATCTGAAAGCGATCCGTTCATGGTTAATGTAGAAATGAATGCCCACATAAGATATCAAAAGCATTGGCGATTTCTAGCAAATAAGGTAATCCCCAATTCACTTTACTATTCTATATCCGCGATGCTTGACGTTGTATTCTCACATACATTAACTAGGAAAACTGCTTGCTGCTGCTGCTAATGCTACTGCTGTTATATGAACAAGACATGCTTAATAATTACTCCTCACGCGAATAACCTGTGCGTGTGTTGCAGGAGGAGGAGGTGCAGCCCTGAAAGAGATAGCAGCAATGGCAGCAGCAGGAGGAAGAGGGAGAGCAGGCGCCCAGGCCTCGCTTCCCCATGGGAACAGACACCGGCCCTGTGCCGCCAGCACGGTCTGCCATCACGCAAAAGAGCATCATCGGCCTGACACCACCAAGACAGCAGCCACATACAGACAGGGAGGGGGAGAGGAAGCAAGGGCAGTGCATGGTGGGAAAAAGTGCAATATGAGACGGCAGAGGGAGGAGGAGAGAGCTTCCTGTGGAGTACTGTTCTCCACAGCAGATAGATAAAGGTTGTCATTCGTTTGAAATGCTTTCATCTCTAAAAGCTCTTCAGCACAACCTGAGAACTGCAATCTCATTCCATCACAGCTAATCAGAGAGATCATTTGTCTGTGATTCACAAAGCATTTAGTGCACTGCTGATGAAAAATGCACAAAAGCAAGTGTCTAATGCATGCTTTTACAAAAATCACAAGTCTAACTAGATTTATAGTTTTTTTTTTTAAGACTGCAAAACTTTCTTCCATATTTCTGTGGAGTGTTTTTTTTTTACCACACAGCTACATGGTTTCTGGGGTGTCATGGAAGACTGGTTACTGGCTGAAGAGCAAAAAGCTTTGTATAATATTCTCAATCTCATCCCTAGACATACAGTGATGGGCAAAATTATTACAGCACTTGTCATATTTAAGAGGTTTCAGTTGTTTTTGTTGAAATGGTCATTGCAATCTGTGCGTGGTTTTACAACTTGTATGTTTTCTAGTTTAAAAATGTAAATCTGACGAACGCAATAATCCAGTGAATCAGAGTGAAGACTGTTTACTTATCTTACCTGTTTGTGAAGGAAAATGATGGACTGGCCCCCTCAAAGTCCAGACCTCAACCCCATCGAGCAAAGATCTATTGTACATTCAAAGGAAAGCCTATGGCTTGAGTTGCAGAAGGCATGGGATAACATTAAGGATAACATTGGCAGAAGGCATGGGATAACATTCTGACACTATGCCAGAAAGATGTGCTGCAAAAGGTGGACATACCAAATACAAGGCAGTAAGCTCATTGGCTGCATATGCAGCATGAACCAATCAGCTTGTGCCAAGTCGTTTAACTCTCTGAATATCATCAGTTACATGAACAACCCGTCAGCCTGCGCCATCTAGAGTTTCATGACTGATGTATATATATATATATATATATATATATACTGTATACATTTATATATATGTGTGTGTGTGTGTGTGTTGTAGTAAATGTATAATTTCTCACTTTTATAGAAACATGTTGCTAAAAATAAATCTTAAATTAACAAATGAGCAATCCAATAAAAGTTTTATGTAACTACAATGTAACATTTATAGGAAAATGCATATAATATAAAAAACAAGCATATAATATAAAATTAGATATAACGTTACATATAAATAAAATATATAAAGCAAGTTAAAATATAATATAATATATAATATGTGACCCTGGACCATTAAAACCAGTCATAAGGGTCAATTTTTCGAAATTGGGATTTATACATCAGCTGAAAGCTGAATAAATAAGCTTTCCATTGATGTATGGTTTGTTAGGATAGGACAATATTTAGCCGACATACAACTATTTGAAAATCTGGAATCTGATGCAAAAAAATCAAAATATTGAGAAAATCACCTTTAAAGTTGCCCAAATGAAGTTCTTAGCAATGCATATTACTAATCAAAAATTAAGTTTTGAAAAGTTAAAAGTGGATAAAAACAGTACGACTCACTTCATCTGATATATGTAGTGCTCAGAGCAACCATCTGCATGTTTCATGAACATTATGAAATGAAATCATGTTTTGGAGGCAAAAAAGGTCAATATGTTCAGATCTGTCAGGTGTTCTAATAATTTTGGCCACCACTGTAGTTCAGGTCTATTCTTTAATGGACACTGATTTTTTTTTTTTTTTTAAGAAATTGATACTTTTATTCAGCATTAAATTTGAAAGTGACAGAAAAGACATTTAAAAACACACAAAAAAAAAATCCTGAAAAAAATGTATCAGTTTCAACAAAAATATTAAGCAGCACAACTTGTAAACATTGATAAAATAATGAATAATAAGAAATGTTTTTTGAGCACTAAATCAGCATACTGGCCTTAGCAAACACCTATAAGAAGATCCGAGTTGCCAAAAAACATAGAAATCAGTCTCAGAACAGCAACATTCCCAAAGTCATGCTCTATATAAAAATGATTCATATCAAACAAACAGAGGAGGATGTATTTAGGTGAAAAAAAAAAAGCAACAGCACCTGTGCATTCTTGAGAAATGCAAGAGAACATTGCTCCCCTGGGTGCTGCTAAACAGACTCTTAGGCTTGAAGGAAGATCGCACTCTTTGATATGACCCAAAATGAGACCACACTTTGAGGTTTTCTGTACATGCGGCAATGAGTATGTTATTCAGGTCCGATGGAGCTCCCCCAACCTCATGCAATTGCATTCTCGCAGTCTAATGGCAGTCCATTGTTCAGTCATATGTGATTTTAGCACTGACTACCAGGTTACACAAGTCATAGATTATACAGACCCTTAGAACCCCTTATAGCAGGGATGTTCATATGCTGCATTCAAGTCCTCCTGGGACGTTCGTACTTACGAGTTGACAAGTCGTAATAACGACGTCAGGTGCGTTCAAGTCACTTTGCTCGGAACAATGTGGCGATTTTACTTTTTTCCATAAAATTCAACGATTTTTTTAAACTTTACATCTACAAAATGATGAATAAAGAATGTGCGTCATTGTGTTTTTGCTTTTTTCTGTTTTTATTCAATTTATGAAGGTGATGTAAACTGAATCATTATATGTTCTTTGGTAATTATACAATAATATAATATTTTGTATATGTAGTAGTAGTAGGCATCCGTCTGTCTCGGGAGACAATGGTAGCGCCCCTGTCCGGTTTGTTCAGTTTTGTGGAGAGTGCGTTTGCGTTTGATGTGGCTCAGCAGTCCGATTCTAGCCTGACAGTCTTTGCCACAGGTGTTACACACGAAATCGGACGGCTGGTAGGAGGTTTGGTTCTGCTGCCTCTGTTTCCTCCATTGTCTTTTGTTCTCCAGCTGCAGGTTCATCTTCTCCTCGCCCCTTTTGACTCCCTCACGAACAACATGACGCCAGTGTCCGTGGTCGATGGCTACCAGTTCCCAGCTGTTTGGGTCGATGTCAGTCAGCTTCATGTCGCGTTTGCAGACATCCGCCTATTGGGCAGTGTCCCATGGCCAATTCACCGTACAGGAGGTCTTTGGGGATGCGTCCATCATCCATACGGTGCACGTGCCCAAGCCATCGCAGTCGACGCTGACAGAGCATAAGACGCATGCTGAGGGAGCCTGCTCTCTCCAGCACTTCAGTGTTGGTGACCTTGTCCCGCCATGTGATGCTGAGGATCCGGCGAAGACAGCGAAGGTGGAAGCTCTCCAGGCGGTTCTCCTGTCTGGTGTATGTGGACCAGGACTCACTGCCGTACAGTTTTATTTTGCATTACAAAAAATTTATCATTTTATTAATTTCAACAAATTTACCATCAATACAGATGCTGCATATCTAGTCTTTGGATTCCATGCATCCGACACGTTTTCTCACTGACACGCCCCCAACTCGGAAACTCGGGGCTTAAAGAAAATTTTGAGTTTCCCACTCGTAATAACAACTTTGTGGTGGCATTCATGTGTGTTCAACTCGTAAATACGATCTATCCGACATGAATTGAACGCACCAATAGAACAGCACATATCGGGAAATTTGAATTCAAATTCAGATATTTAGAGAGAATATACATGTACATATATACATATAAATGTATACAAAGCTATAATATATATATATATAATGCTGACTAAGGTGACATTTATTTGATAAATACAGTAAAATTTTAATATTGTACAATAATATTACAATTTAAAATGAACTGTTTTCTGTTTTAATATATTTTAAAATGTCATTTATTCCTGTGGTGAATTTTCAGCAGCCATTACTCCAGTCTCCAGTATCACGTGATCCTTCAGAAATCATTCTAATATACTGATTTGGTGTTTAAAAAATATTATTATTATTATTAATGGTGAAAACAGCTGCGTTGAAACAACTGACACATTTTTGTTTCAGTATTTTTGTTTAAACATGATAAAAAAATGTCAGGATTCTTTGATTAACAGAAAAGAGGAAAAAGAACAGCATGTATTTGAAAAGTAAATCTTTTGTAACAATGTAAATGTCTTTACTGTCACTTTTTGTTCAGTTTAGTGCATCCTTGCTGAATCAAAGTTTTAATTTCTTTAAAAAATACAATTTATTTAAAGTAGAAACACATAATGGACCTTCACAAAAAACCTAATAATACTCTGCTAACACTGCAGAAGGCAATCAGTGCAGTGTATAATAAAATACATACACTAACTTTCAGAGTTATGTTAAAAAAGAAAAGAAAAAATAAGCACACCAAGTGTAGAGAATACATGAAGCATCTGTTGCATGCATTATGGATTCAGTCTTTAAATGAATAAATATAACACACTGATAATGTAATATATTTGGCCTTAGGCCGATGATGAAGTCCAGGCCCAGATTTGTGTGGTTTCAAATTACTTTGCTTATAATGTGATTAAATCAAAGAGACTGCAAGATTTTTCTTTTTTTTAAAGAATACATTAGCAGCTAACACTGGCTTGTGTTATTAGACTGCCATTTGTTGGTCATATATTGAAAATGAATGCTAATAGAAGTCAAACAATGTTTTAGCCTCAAGGCTAAATTCATTTCCATTAAATCCGCGCTCTAAATTAGTGGATAACGCCGGTCTCTCCCATTTGTAAACACTCATTTTCAGATCTGACTAAAGTTATCATTATTCTGCCACTCAGGAGCACTGACAATTACAATAAATAATTGGACACAACACCATCTGCCTAAAACAGTCTGCCGAATGCATATTACTGCACTCTTCACTCTTTCAGGGAGCAAAACAAACATTATGCATCTTGAGGCATGATTTAATGACATGTCTTAATGGAGGTGAATGCTTAAAGTTTAACTCTGTAAAGGTTAAACGTACAAATCACTAAGTGTTCAGAGTCAGACAATAGTGGGAAACAGCGTGTGACGCGCAGTGTGTTTTTGTCACATGATAAGTGAACTGACACACTGTTTCTCCAATCAGTATCAAACTATTGTTTATGCTTTTGGAAAAAGATAAACCATGCTATGTGGATAAAAAAGAGAAATAAGACCACACTTACAGTATATGATCATGTCAGGTGAGCTGTCACATGTATAGATCATATGCCTCCATACAGCTACTTATTTTATTGCTCAATGAATTATAATAACATAATTAAAACTGTGGATAGCACTAGCAAGTCTGTACATATGTGCATGATTATAAGGTAAAAATAGGGATGGGCAATGTGACCAAAATCTTATATCACGGTGTGAGTGATTTTATTTCACGGTAACAATATATATATCACAATATAGTTATTTTTGCTTTAAATAAAGTCTTTATAATACCAACATTTTTGATACCATATAAATTGTATAATGCTATAGTCACCAGTTTCAATATCACAAAACAAAATTACTAACCTAAATTAAAAAACAAAGCTCACTGAAGACAAGTAAACAGTCAGTGATTAAATAAGACTAAGAAACTAATTACAAGCAATAGCACAAAAAAAAACGACAGTAGAACAAATAAATAAGAAATGCTACACATTGTATAAAGTAATCAAATTATTAATTACAAATGCATATTCTTCACAGTGTGAATTAAATATATATTTCTCTTTTATTAAAGTTACAAAAGTGATTTAGGCAAGAGTAGTGAGAGATTTTGTCTCTTTTGTTGTTTGATTAACATGAACGACAGCAGGAACATTAGACTGCTGTCACTTTAAGAGTTGCCCAGATCCAATATACTGTTACATGTGTTTTCTTTCTCAGCTGTTTGCTTTCAAAGACGGGCATTGACACATACAAGCGTGCGTATAAAGCGGCAAAAATAACTTGGTTCAATACTCCCGCGCTCTATGAGCACCATCTCCACATGTGCGCGCCTCTCTGACAGCACTCCTATTGTGAAGTATAGCGAATTGAGTTCTCTTTCGTTTGCATTTCAATGGCTTAAAATCCCTTGTTTTCAAACCGCAATGCTTAAAAACGCACGTAAATGGTACGCTTTCGTGACCACGTAGCACAGCAATGCCACGTGAGCCTGTAACCGCAATAGAGACGATAGTTGAAAATCTCTACGTTAATTGTCTTCCGGTATATCACCCACCCCTTTGTCAAAATGTACATTTTCTCAAGAAAATGCACTGCAGAGTTGTTATTAGTGTGTTAACTATTAAAAATAATTTTCACTGACTGAAATAAAGCTGAAAGAAAAGGGAATATAAAACTTAAACTTAAAAACTGTAAGTTGACGTACTAAAATTACTAAAACTAAAATGAAAAAGTGGTTGCTTATTTCCAAGCCAAGTCTCTATGATCTTCTGGTCCCCATATATTCTCCTTTAGTACACTGTAAGTCAATGGCTTTTATTTGCCTGTTTTATCATCCACCAAGCTAAACTGTGTAGAAAAGTAATAGCACATCTCTACCAGTTAAGCCAAATCAAGGCTTACAGGTATAAACTTGCTACTGACCTCATTTGAAATGCCACCCGTTACAATAAGCCTTACATGCAGTGTGATGAACTGAAAAGAGACAGAGAGAGTAACAGCATCACAAATCTCAAGACTACAGGGGCAGTTTGTCATCGAAGTAGTGTCTGGAGAGGTCAGAGGAAATGGAGAGTGAGTCAGTCAGTACACAGAATGTGAGAGACAGAGACAAAGACAGGAAGGATGTCAAAAGAAGATGCACTTACAGAAAGGACAGTTAGTACATCATTGATGACAGAGTGAACAAAATCAAAAGACAAACATTTTGCTTTCTAAAGCAAGAGGGAGTGAAAAAGATTTCAAGGAAGGAAATGAGAGCACAGTGTGCCGAGTTAAATGTAACTGGGTTACCTTGGCACTGCCGTCTGAGTGGCGACGGGCGCACAGCTGAAGCTGGGTCATCCACATCTGCTGCTCACGCGCATCACAAGCTAAAAGAAGACATGTGAACTATAAATGGCCACATCCATTCATGCTGCATCTACAGCTAATTTAATTCAATAAACACAACATAACATAACATAAAACGTAATGGATTTGATTATGTTCATCAAAAAGAATGAAGTTGTTTGTTAAATCCTTATAAATAGTCATGCATATTAAAGGGATCATATAATGAGAAATGCATTTTACTTGAACTTTTTTTTTTTTATCCTTATATCACAGGTTAGATGTCAATGAAATCAAACACCATTCAATATGAAACCAAATGTTCCATATTTTATGACTTTTGGTGAATAATGTCAAATTTCGGCTCACAAGTTTATAGAGTGCTGCAGGGATGACATATTTCAGGATATGGATTTTTCCATTGGCTTTTGGATTATTGCATAAAATAAGCTCTGTGAGCCAACATTAAAAAAGCTACAGTAGTCACCAACATTAAAAAAGCTACAGTTAGGCTATAAACAAACTACACCATGTTTGCTTAACTTTCCCATCATTAAGTTTCTGACAAATCCTTTTCTGTATTTAAAATCTACAAGTTGTAAAATTTTAGTTAGTTTCCAAAATGGCAAGTATAAACATGAGGCTGTAAAAACGTACTAAAGCATAGATGAATTTGCCGGGATGACGTTTAATGTCCTGACAACCTGTAGTTCCATTTAGCAACCACTTTTTCAAGTCAAAACACTTAAAATCATGAGTGGTATTATTGATGTAGATGCATTTAACTAAAAACCTATTCAAAAACCCAAACTTCAGCACAATGGAACTGCAAGTTTAAAACTCGTTTATAGGTTTTAGGACTCACTCCTGCAGCCCTCCATATGGATCAGTTCGATGTTTTATAATGCCTTTTTTTCCTGGAGCTTGACAGCTCATGGTCACCATAAACTGTTATCTGGAAATTGTGAATATTCTTTAGAATTCTCTTTTTGTGTTACATGGAAAAAATAACAGCATATGTGTTTTGAAAGACATGAGGTTGAGTAAATTATATTTTAAAATTTAAAAACAGATAACATACATATCACCATAAATCCCCAGTTGATTAATCACAGTAAAATAAGACATGTTTTCTGAAATGTTATGTTTAAATATGGAAAATAGGTGTTTTCTAATTAAATATACAGGAATTTGCATACATTTCCAGAACAAAAATCTGAACTCTGAATAAGGCCAGGTTTAATGCTCTTGTCATAAGAGACTTTTTTAATGTTTTTATAGCGGGGATTTTATAGAGGGGATCACTCCATAATTTAAATTCCTTATTTACTCAAATATAGTCAACAGCCAGAAAAAAAATCACCATGTAAGTGCTACTGAAGTGGAGATTTCTGGTGTTGTGCATGAGAAAAAAACTCATTTTGAGAAAACGGCCTATAAAAGATATGCATTTCAATTAAAAACTACAGAAACACACAGAGAAAGCAATAATAAAATAAACACTTTTATGTGTATTGTGTATGTTTTCTTTCCACTAGTCTGAAAGAAGTCAGATTATGGAAGCAAAACAGCCTCAAATCTGTTCCGCACTGTCTTGCCTAAAGAAGATCCAACAGGGTTTTTAATATATATGACCTATTAAAATCTAGTTTTAAGGTCATTTGGTATGGTATGGTTACCCAGGTAGAACAAATGCAAGCTTTTTTATCATCACAAGACTGAAAAATTCAATTTGTGGCTTGTCTGTAACCCGGGGTAAGACTGAGAAGGTGTGAAATGAGAAAAATAGCACCTGAAGATTATCATTTCAGAATGCTGGAACACTGGGAGTGGACGAGACTCCGCCCGCAGCAAGGCTGTCAAACTACTGGGAATAACGCTGGAGGTGACAGCTTATTTGCAGCGAAATCCATCCTCTCACAACCTCTCCAAAATTGCCTTTGTTACAAATGGCCGTTTTGGCTGGTGGCATTTTGCTTGTAAACTCCTGATACAGTCTAAATGAGTTCTCAGAGCCGCCTCGGACCGAAAGTGAATTTTGATGTAAAACCAACCATCATAAGAGATTGTGGCATACACTGAATGCCAACCATGAAAAGACTCCTGGCATACTTGAAAGACATGAGAGAAACAGAGAGAGGGGAAAGTATAGAGATCTAATCTGACGAGGAAGTTGCTGGCGAGAAAGAAAGAGTGAACGTGGACAACTAAATCACAGATAAAGGGGGATGCCTGAGGGAAAAAACACATATCAAAGAGATACTTCCTTAAGGGATGTTGCGTGAGAGAGTGTGTGGAGACTCAAGTTAAAGGAGAACGGAGATGGAAGGGATCAAATGGCCATGTTAAAAGCAAAAGCAAAGGATTGAAACCCCGACGAGGGAAAGACGCTCACCCCGCAGTTTGAAGAAATCTCCATTTGCAGCACAGACTGTGAACATATAGGGAAACTCTTCGCATGGGGCCACTGAGGAGCCGATGAGGGGCAGGGACCCTCGTGGCTTCTGGTTCTTACTGTGCTCGTTGATGAAATACTGAAGCTGGCCGAGCTCAGGGTCCAACACAAAATACCTGCATGATGAAAAACAGAGAGGAGGGTTACGTTACAACAAACCTAGATTTTGACAGCGTGTGATGCCTGACGTGTTCTTAGTGGTTTCAAAATCCCTGGTAGCCCTTCGGGCAGGTACTCTTCAAATTTGCCACACCTGTGAGGTGGATGGATTATCTCGGCAAAGGAGAAGTGCTCACTAACACAGATTTAGACAGATTTGTGAACAATATTTGAGAGAAATAGGCCTTTTGTGTACATAGAAGAAGTCTTAGATCTTTGAGTTCAGCTCATGAAAAATGGGGGCAAAAACAAAAGTGTTGCGTTTATAATTTTGTTCAGTGTAAAAAAAAAACCTTTTAAAAAATATATATATAGAAAATCAGATAGGAGTTTAAATGTCGATCAAAAATATTTTCAATACACAAATATCAACAAATATGAAGGAAGGAATTTTATTTCACTATTTACAGGGG